CCATTTAAAAAACGGCTATCCAAGTATTCAGTTCAGTCAGTTCACTTTTTCAGCTCACAAACCCGGCGCCAAATTGCAGTGGTTCCAGCTGCTACAGCTTCGTTCACCGAGAAGAAGGAAAATAAGGGAATCAGATCCATGCGTTGACAGCGATGGCCGAATTAGTTCGATCAATCCAAAAGGGTTTTGTTCGCCCGGTCCGGTAGGAGTGGACAGCTACTCAGTGAAGACGATAGGTTTGATGCAATATGCCATTGGCTGCGTTACAGCCATATCTGTCAGAGTCATTAACCGATTGATAGTCCAACCCGCGATCCCCATCCTGGTTTACAACAGTTACCAAAGCGACTGAGTCGTCTGGTAAGAGGTATGATGCACCATTGTCAGATCATGAACTGACCATCACTAGGTCGTCTCCGCTCGACACACGGTTGGGCGAAGAATTCACTATGAGGTAAACGGCTATCTGACCACGAGCTACATGGTCCAACCAGCGTAACTCATGGAGTTTGACCAGTTAATTTATCAAGGAAGAGTGAGCACTACGGATCTGGTGTTCCCACAAGGCTCCCGCAATGCTTTGGAGCCACCGATGGCAAAGACAGAAAGCATTCAATGATATCACACGCGCAACGATCACAAGAACCAAATTTCACAGTTGCGAGTATTTCAGAACCTCACTCAAACGATTTGAACACACTGACATTGTTTCACACAAAAGGCCAAAAGAGAAAACAAATTCTGAGGCAACTTACCTGTTATTTTTCTATCACAATGAAGTAACACGATAAAATGAAGTGTATTCCAAATGGTGAACACAATCTCTTGTTTTCATAGTAGTGTTCTAGTGTAAACAAATCGCTACTGAACGTCTGCTGAACAGCGAAACTCGGCGTAATTCACGAAGTTTCCCACGAATTAAAAATATCGCAAAACAACTTCGAAAGTAAAAAACAACAGACAGCTCGTTCAAACAGCTGCCAAAAACCGTGGATTTATTTAGGGGAAAGCATACCAATAGCAAAGTCGCCCTGTCAACCAATTTGGTTAAATTAGTAGGGTCCGACANATCCAGTTTAAAGGGAATAACAGCAATCCTCTTGTTTACAACGAAAACCAAGTTCTTTTTTTGTCATGGCATGTAGGTTTGCGTAGGGTTTTGGAATTGCTGGCGAGTGTTTTGGAGGTGAACAAGTAACAGACACCAAGACATGCATGCTTTATTCGACTGAAGGTGGATGTGAACGGCGCTTTTGTTCACCCGACTGGACGGCTGCGAATGTGTCAAAATTCCCCCACTGCCATGGCAACTGAATGGCAGCTTCTGAGACCAAATCACACGACCAAATCGCTCACATGGCTCAACACAGAATGGACGTTGGTCATGGATATGGTCATCTGATGAACTGCTAGACACATGTGAAGCACACATCACATAAGGTTAACTAGTGACAAGACAGTACAGCTCTCCCAAGCACCATCGACACAGGAAACGACACAAAACAACCGAAGTCAAAAAGCAGTCAAGGTTTTTGCATCAAGTGTCAATACCGTGTGAAAAATAGTACTATTGATGTACGACTTTTATTTCACTCTACTCTCACTCTCTACTCGTACAGAATATGGCTAGGAGATTTCTTGAACAAGTATTGACATATCATGCATAATTTAACGCAGATTCAACGGTGCGTTGTTTCGACAATACAGCAACAAGACATGAGCTTGTTAGTTCCAACCAAGTCTTGTCTGAACCTCTGTTCCTGAGCTTCTATCACAGTTTGGATTTTCCAATGGAATATAATATCATGATTGTAAAAGGTTATTGGGAAGCACACTGACCTTCCACAGGTTCCAATGGAGAAGCTCCGGAATCCATCCTATATCATATCGGAATAACCTATCACGGGGAGCGTTCAGTATACCATTCAATGTCCAGTCGCTATAGCATCGCCGCATGTGGTATTCCAACAAGTTTCCAATTAGAGCAACTAAACAGAACTCCTGAATAATGCTCAACAAAGAAAAGAGTTTTTGGCGTCCAATGGGTGGACGATTCTCCTACGGGATAACATGTTTGATTACATGCCAGTGTGGAAGGTTATAGAAAACAGAAAAAACTTGCGAAATATTGCAGAGATGCATTCTCCACAAG